TTAATTGTGTTAATATACAATTTTTTTTGTCTTTCAGGTCAACTGTGGTCATGTTAATTAAACTGTTCACTTGTATAGAACAAGCACAAGTGAAGTCATGTCATCCATGACAGTCAACACAGGCAGTCGAACATGTTGACTAATGACTAGTGGCAGAACTGATCCACTAGTCAATGCAAAACACTTCAGCAACCACATACTGTAGCGACATGCTAAAAACCACCATAACAGCCACTTATCAACCCTACCCTAGCAACACTGAACATGCTGTACACTGAAAAAAGTGACTTTCTTCCTCAGTATTTTTGTCTTTCAAAAAAAAGTAAGCATTAAAAATATTGAAATATTTAAACCAATAATTAAAACTATTTCAATATTTCAAATATGTATACATTAAAAATGTTAAAATATTTTAAATATTTATACATTAAATATATATAAATATTTGAAATATTTAAATAATTAAACATTAAAATGTTAACATACTTTGAATATTTAAACAAACATTGAAACATTAAAATTGTAAAAAATAATTAAGCATTAAAAATGTAAATATTATATTTATACATTAAAATATGTCCATTTTAAATATGTAAACATAAACAGACAAACAATAATAATTCAATATTTAAATGTAACAAATATTCAAACATTAAAAATATTTGTATTTTTAAGATTTCAACAAATATTTATACATTTTAATATTTTAAATATTTAAAGTTTAATCCACAAAAAAGGTTGTAGCGCAAAACACTCGTCCAAAAATCCAGTAGGCAAAAAACATAAGGTGCGTAGATCCAAAAAATACAAAGATGTAAAGATGAAAGAGATCCGCATTCGTCCAAATACAGCTCAAAAGGCTTATTCCGTTTATTGCTCAAAGGTCACAAAACCTCGGAGCAATAAATGGAATAAACCTTTTGAGCTGTATTTGGACGAATGCGGATCTCTTTCATCTTTGCATCAAATATTTAAAGTTTAAAATACTATTGCTAAAAATATACCCAAGCGACTTAAGACTGGTTTTGTGGTCCAGGGTCACAAATATATGCCAGTTGGGTCAGAAAAATTTGAAAAAAATTTAAATTAGGTTTATTTTTTCTTACCTCACTGGCAGATATTTATTTTTGTTTTAAGAATAAACTCACTTTATTTTGATAAGTTTCACAGAAATCAAGACTGCTTATGTCATTTTGCATCTCAAGTAAATGTGTCATCGTGGACATATTTGTATTGGAAAACGAGACAAAAATACTGAGGTAGAAAATTGTTACAAAGTGTTTTTGTTCTTTCGGAGATAAAACAAAAGTTTGATTTTTTTTCTTTTGAGAGATTGTTTAAAAAGTCTGAAGAGAAGCTTGATGTCTTTACTTTCATGGTTGATGACCATTTTGACGTGAACATGTCAGAGAAAGAGCTCCTCTCCATCGCATTGCACTGCATTACATCAGTTGAATGTGAAGCTTGTTGGAGCTTATTTGGTTCAGAAATACCTCATCGTTATAGTGCTCTGATTTACTCTCATAATGTCTGGAGACAGCAGCACCTCTCCTTACAATTAGCTGAGCAGTTCAGAGAGAGAGAGAGAGAGAGAGAGTGTGTGTGTGTGTGTGTGTGTGTGTGTGTGTGTGTGTGTGTGTGTCCTTCTGATGCATTAGCCTATACTTTATTCTGTACATTCGGATTAGCAGGAGACTCTTTGAGAACACAGTGCCTTGTGTGATGCATGCTTGTGCACAAAGGTTTGTTTTAAGTCCTGTGTAATATGATCCGTCTTTCACTGTAGCTTGCAAATAAACCCAGCGTCGGTGCTTTAGTGGCTGTTTGCTTGTTTTATGTGTCTCTCAGGCCAGAGATTTTATGTAGAAGACAGAAAATTGAACCTCAGAGTGATATTTCAGGCCGAGGTGAATCACTGCTCTTGATTCCCAGGCAACTGAGAGGCTTCAGTAAATCAGTCCAGAAGAGCTGCGGGTTACATCTCACTCCAACAGCAGAAAGGCATCATGGGTCAGACGCAGTAAACAATACATTTATTTAGTGAGGTTGACTTTTGGGGTAAATGCTTAGTGATTTAATTTAATTAGTTAACATTGGATTAAGTATCATAAACTAACAGTGAACAATAGCTATTTACAGTAATAATTAATCTAGGTTAATATAAAATGAAAGAACGCGTATCATACATCAGTTTCTGTGAGGATATATCAGAATCAGAATTAGCTTTATTGCCAGGTATGTTTTCACATACAAGGAATTTGTTTTCATGACAGAAGCTTCCGCAGTGCAACAGAATGACAGTGACAGAACAAAAACAGATAATAAAAGAATTAAAAAAAATAGAACAAGTAAATAAGGAATAACAATATATAAACTGACAATTGTATGTGCAGGTATTTTACAATAGACAGTTTTGTGTGTACAGGTATATTATGTGCAAATTTGAGGTGTAGACTAAAGCTCTATTCGCATGGGATTAGTATTATCTGGGGACCTTGTGTGATTTTGAAATTACCCCCCCACATCTGAATTTCGTGTGGTGCATTCGCACGGGATAAGCGAAGCCTGTGATTTTACTCGAATTTACTGATTTATCTCCCGGATACCCGGATGTCAAGGCTTTGAGAGTCCTGTTCTATGGTTCGGTTAGATGGATAAAAAAAAAAAAGAAAATATAGTTTAGTGCGCTGTGTCATTTACATTTCACCAGGTAAAAATAATATCTCAAGCTGTGTGCTTGATTTATTTGTAACACATTAACCTCAAAACCTTTTCAGCTTTCTCTTTCTGCAAATTGTATGGTGTAGCGATATGATGACAGCACCCAAAATACTATTAAACACTCCAACGCAGCTCCATTCTTCACGGAAGATGGATAAAAAGGCGCACAGCAAACA